ATTTTCAATATTTTCTCCTACTATTCGAATAAATTGAACGGTTGGTTTAGAGTTGATTAAGGTGCCATATTACAACACAGTTCAGCCTTTTTGTCAACAAAGTTGTTTTGAACTGAGTTTTCTCGGAACTGGAAAATTAAAACTCATCACCTTCATCCACATCCAATGTGGATTCATCCATCCACGAAGATCCAATGGATATTCATGAAAAAGATCATAAATTAGTTTTTATATTTGAGTCTTTTCCTTCCTTTGCTTTTTCATTTTTTTTTTTTTTTTTTTGGCGGATAATTGATCTATATATATTATCTTTCAATCGGAGAGTCACAGTAGCAGTAACTATCTCCGTCTATAAAGTTACTTAACATCAGAGAAAGAATAAAAAACGACTGAATTTCGGAATCTTGTTCTTTTGATAATGTAATGTACGAAAGTACAGAGTTGTTATAAGAAACTGAATTCTACATAAAAATATAAGAATTCAATTTAAGCCGAATCTCAGGTTTTGGAGTATTGAGAATGGTAATATAGTTATTTTTTACTTTCACTTGTTGAGATGAGATACATTGGGCTGTACCTAGTAGGGGTAATCAGTTTATTTTTATCAAGTCCCTCTATGTTGCTTTTAAACAGGCTATATATGAAATATATGGTAAGGGAAAGTAGTGCAATCGTGAAAATTTTCGAATCCGAGTTTTCAAGCGAAAATATACGTTTTAAGGCTGTTTTTGTGTGTTTGTGTTAAAATGTCACATTGGTGGACAGGGTGGCCGAATGGGCTAATGTATGAAAAATGATATCAAAATAGTCACGAGTTCGCGTCCCGGTGCCGAGGGAGTCTTTTAAATTCCCGCCCACACCCCCTGGCCTGGCAAACCCGTAATCTAGCATAAAAAATTGTTATATATATATAAAAACTAAATTGCCGATGTGTTGAGTGTTATAAATTTTTAAATTGATGGATTTCCTTGAAGTTAAAAGAAATACATATTAGTGGCAAAGTGAGTTATAAATCCATTTGGTTCAATTAGTTACACACTCTGTTGTGCTCTGTAAAAAAACAGTTCATTCTGGAATTAGAAGACGCAAGTGCATTCCAGCTAGAGATGAATGAAACGATAAGCTTGTTTAAAAGCAACGTTGAGGAGCTTGATAAACAAAAACTGATTACCCCTACTAGGTACAGCCCAATGTATCTCAATATGTATACAGCGAGTGATAAGCATCAGCCTTATCTCGCATTACATGCCCAGTTCCATATGACCACAACACTAACACAGATCATGTTATTTGGCAATTATAACATGAACTTAACGTTTGATAATATATATTACTATTTCAAGCCAAAAGATTTGCACGCTTTGAAACCTAAATGAATTCGACGACCTTTTTCATATTTTCGTCACACTTCCTACCTCATTCCATTAACATGAGCAGGGTAAATTATTTGGAATTATTCAAAACTGACCATGAAATCTTACTCAAGAACCTGTTTTATTACACAAGGCAATGTTGCAGATTGAGGTTCTTCATTCACGAGTTTGGCGAAAGGTTCGAATAAGCTTCCAATGTAACAAGTGCTTAATATAATAAGGGCTCCGTTTTCATAAATGCGTTGGTATTATTTAATATTAATTAAATTTTGTAGATTACAGTAATATAAAGATTTAAATTTTGAAAATGAAAACTTAAAGTGACAAAGATATTTAGTAATTAATTGTTTTAAGAATATTTTGTACCGTCTGTAATTTTTACTTTCACTTCCCTTAGTCTGAAAATATCTACCTCTCTTTGAAAACTGATGTCAAGTGAATGTTGTGTGATGCACGCACCTCGCCAGATTTTTAAAATTGCTTTCATTGCAGATGAAAAAATAAATTAATTTACGATAACAAAAATGTGCAACTCATTAAAAATAATGTCCAAAAGCTATAAATACCATTAGGGGACTTCTCAAAATATTTTACTATATTCATAATGGTAACAAGCGTTGTTCTCACTTTTAATTAGTCGCATGACCATTTCCTGGAAGGAGATCCTTTGAAACCTCCTTAATAAAAAATGGTGGTTGGGAGAGGCAGGAAAATACAAAAAAAAAAAAACCCGAGGACAATCTCATCGTTTCCCTTCATTAAGGAAATTTCTTCTTAATCATTTTCCACAGTTGGCTCTGAGCCAAATTGTGACTTGGGTTGCCAATTTAGCTTCCACCAGCTCCTGTATTCTTGACCGGTCTCAAAACAGTGGGTTTGGGTTCAGTATAGTTATGGCGATTTTACAACCTCAATGCAATCGTTATCATTATGATATATAAAAACGTACTGTGAGTGTTATCTAGGACAGCTTGAAACAAAATAATACTTTATACTAAATAAAAAACAAACTTCAACTGCCCTTGTTGGACATCCTCAATCAGCAGTGAGCTCAATCAAAGTAATAAACATTTATAGTAACTGTTATATTTCTGCTACATCGAGTAGAGATATTAATAAGAGCTGTTTCTGCCTTTATGTATTCAAAATGGATTTGAATATCTCGCGGAGGCACTTTACTATTACTTTTAGAAAAAACGTTGTTGGGTGTAAATAATTGATCCTTAACTCTAAAAAAAACTCTCATTAAATTAGAACCTGACAGCACAGGCCGATCTACAGGGGGGAAGGAGGAGGAAGGAGTTTCGAACTGAAGTCCTTCCCAAAATGGTAAAATATAACCAAGTGAAAGAAATATTAAAAAACCATCTCTAAAATTATTATTGTTCGTTTCATTATATTTAATAAGATTTTAAGAATCACATACATATCATTTCATATATTAGTTTCTCTTCTTTTAAAGTAATAATCGTTATATATACAAAAAAATAATCTTTCGGGCTGAAGTCCTCCAAAATTAAATCCTGAATCCACTAGTGGCAGACACTTAAAATATAATTTAACTTATAATAATTAATTTTATAATGTATGACAAGGATCAGCGGATAAAATATAAAATTAAATTAAAATTTATGTCGTGAAATATGTGACATATAAATACTTTGTCAATTTTTTTTTTTTTGGAGAAGCAGACTTTTTAAAATTTATTTGCAAGAAAAATAACGTTTTATATATAAAATTTTGTTTAAGACGTCCTTGAAAGCTCGTAAAAAATAAATAAATAAATAACGACTGTGTTTACAGGAACACTAATGCTTCTTCTTTGAACGTTTTTAAATTTAGTATTTGAAATACAAGCGTTATAATTTAAACATATTAAATATTTCGATTGTATAAGTATATAGTTCAGAACACTCACAAATACAAATATGGACCAATAAAAAAAAATATATTATTCTATTTTGGGAAGGATTTTAGCCAAATGTGCTCCGTCTTCCTCCAAGGTCGTTGGCCCATGAACCTCCCCCTTCTTCAAATATATTTGATTATTCTCATCTTATTAAAAATAATGTAAGCTAAAATAGAATTTTAAAAATAATAAGTCATATTTCTTTTATAGTTAGTATAAGTTAGTTATTTATGAGTCCGTTTCTTTCCTCTTCTATCCTCGTTTGAAACTTTTCATTTTGAAAATTCATAACCTTGTCGAAACGCAGTACAGAATGTTTACTCTTCGACATGCAATATCTACTTAAATACTTACTACTACTAGTTTTAATTGAAAATACAAAGATTCCACAAACAGATACCGTTCACAACCTTGGTCTGACATTTGACTCATATTAACTAACTCCAAATCTTTCAAGCTGCAATATTCAGGACAGTTACAAAAGCACCTTGGTACGCTAGCAACTTAACCTTACATACTGATCTTCACACGCCGACTGTCAACGGACACATACGAACCCATTACAAACGCTTCCTAATTATAGCGTACAGAATAAGGACGATTTAGAATTACAAGTATCTAGAAAATCTGAATGAGGTAAACATTTATTTTCTAGGTTGATTACAAAAATTCAATATTCAAAATAAAAATAAAATAAAAAAGATGTGATTGGTTAACGAAATAACTTAAGACGTAAAATTTTACATATAAAAGTTTAAACATCGCATTAGGTACCAACAATCAAACTTGGGATATTCCAATCCAATATCAAACCACTATTTTCTTTAGTGGTACCATAAAAGATCCAAAACATTTTCGATAGATGATAATTTGTAAAGTTTCAAGAAACAATTGTCAGCAGAGAGATTTAAATTAAAGAAATATTAGTGTAGTTCAAGGAACTGTGGCAAATCAAACACAGGAGTGAAGTACAAAAAAGCTTGAATGTAATCAGATAAGGAACCACTAAAGTACCGTTTGCGAATCCCACAAGAGGAACCTTTTCAGACCTGGAAAGCCGAAAGGTTATCGTAAACAGGATAAATAGTAAAACTCTGTGAGTTTAGTGGTAGTCTAATGCCTAGTCATGTAGGTTTATTTTAAGTTTTAAAAGGATATTTTAATAAGGTGGGTTGGGTAGTATTTCCATTCATACAACCTCTTGTTGATGAATAGCCACTGAATCCACTATAAGTTAAAAGTTAACGGATATCTTGAGTAACTTGATTTTATTAACATTATATAAAGAGCTTCCATATTTGAACCAACATAAACTTTTCAGGCAGTATATGAAAATGCGGGGTGTGAAAAAAGAATGCAAATTATAGTTATCTTACTTGTCACTTATAGAAATACTTAAAATTTAATTACGTCCCAGAAAGTAAAAAATTATTCTGTATTGCGAGTTATCCTCCAAAACATTGAATGTTGAAGATGAGCTGTAAGAGAGATCCTTCGCCTAACTCCATTGTATTTACAGAAAGAAACATCAAATACAATGATTGTTGATCTTTTCTATGACAGGTGTGAATAAATATAATAAGTTTTAACAAAAAAAAATCGTTTTCATCTATATTGTTTACAATATAATTTAAGAATATAAAAATTATTTATTTATTTTTTAAATTAGATCCCGATTAAAATAAATGTATATTATTAACATAATTTTTGGTTGGCAGGGACACCAAGGACCTCCAGGTATCCAAGGCTTCAAGGGCGAGCAGGGTAACCCAGGCATTGATGGTACGCCGGGCATACCAGGAGCCAACGGGAGGCCTGCCATCAAAGGAGAAAAGGGTATGTGGGATTTACCCGTACTATCGATCATAAGAAAGCACTAGAGCAATCTGTATATCAAGAATAATTGAATAAACTAAAACAAAACAAGGTAGATGAATACAACAAAACAACTAAGGAGTGTGCTTTAGACCATACGAATGAAGTGAAAACAACGACAAAGCGATATTAATAATATGAAATTTAAATTATAAATAATAGCTCATTATAAAGAGGATGAAATGATGAACATTTCCATGACCTCCCTTTCAGTATGCAGGTCCGATTTTTAATGTCTGAAATATTTTAATCCATATCTTCAATGAAAATCGTTATCATTTTGTTTTCGACACTATTGTTTTCCTTTTCGCCTCTATAACACGGCTTCGCGTAAAGAAACAATTTTGAATAACAGCCCATTACAAAGAGGATGAAATGATGAACATTCATCACGCTTACAGTATGCAGGTCCGATTTTTAATTTTTGACATATTTTAATACATTTGCAAAAACACGCCGATTAATCGACTCCAGCCAACTTTAACCGAGCGTTACACATCAGAAATCTGACGTATTAATCTAATTCACTCTCTACAAAAAAAGTGCAAAACGTGTCTAAAGTAATTTTCACTTCAATAAAAGTACAGAAGAAACGCAATATTTATGCTTTTAGTAATATTCTATTCTTATTGATTTTGTTGAGTGTACGCTGCTCGATCATTGGCAACACCTGTTACTTAGACTCGGTTATATATTTTAATTATTTTCAAAAATTCATAGTTTTTCACCTAATTTTCGCATTCGTTCGAATTTTCTTTTAGGCTTGATCCGATTTTTTTTTAGCAATTTTAAATATATAATTATAATTTTTGTATAAATTATTTTTTTTTCCTTTTATCCCTTCTAATCAGCTGTTCATGGAACCTTCCGTTTCCTACAGTATGCATTTGGATGGCTTGCTGAAAAGCCACTAGCAATTTTTTTATTCTTTCCACATATGTGATCTGAAAAGGAGTTGATCGGAGGGTGCAATCAAATAAATACTAAATTATAGAAATAGTATTATTTAATTTTTTTTTGCCGACGTTTCGACCCGTGTGTTTCAACTGCCTCCCGCAGTGTTACATCCTACGCCCTGATGAAGACCTGCAAAGTGGGTCGAAACGTCGGCAAACAAATTAAATAATACTATTTCTATAATTTAGTATTTATTTGAACGCACCCCCCGATCAACTCCTTCTCATATTATATCACGGTCAACCATCTCTACATCATATGTGATCTGGTTTTTCTGTCCTGTCGATGCCTGAGTTGGCGAAGCGTTGACGAGATAACTATTCACGTGTATATCACAGACTCCTTGCTTTATAGTTTGGATTTTTCCATTTATATTCCAATTACTTTGTGTCCCTTTTTCAGTTACATGTTCATTTATAATCATTATCTGATAATATAAGGATATTTTAATTTAAGAATTCTTTTTTTTTTTTAACAGCTGCCAGACAACCTTTACCTTAGATAGTTAAAAAGTAAACAAATTTAATGTGCACTTGCTTCATTGGCTTACGATGGAAAAAAAATTGTTTAGAAACAATTGCTATCGAATCTAGCCGTGATTGAATCCAACCTCCTCATCGATCTAGCCGAAAGCTAATCTGCAATTACTATCTGTGGTTTGAAGTTAGTAGCCGGGTTGACGTGTATAGTATAATGCACATTATCTGCAAGTCTAATGGCCATCCTCACTATATAGGGAACATTACCTAGCAGGTACCTCCGCTGTATAACTAATATCAACCACCAGTTCATTAGTCCGTTTATGGCCCAATACTAATTAATACCCCGCTATGATAGCATAGAGCAATTAATTGAGCTAAAAGCGACCTACAATAATATGAAATAGAGTGGCTCATGGCTACTTTCAGTGGAGTAAATAACACCGATGCGGCGTATTGGCACACAGAGACTTTTGGGGCGCTGTGCATCAACGGGAATACTGGAAAATATTTCAACCTAATTAAAAAATATTTAAAGAATTATATATTTATTTGTGCTAAGCGCCTTCAGCAGGGTTGAATTTTCACGATTTAATATTAAAATCTTATATTAAACGAATATAAGTTATTATAGTATTTTTTTTTCTTTAAGCTTTAATCCGCAAATATCATGAATTGTTCATGGGTAGTTCACATCCTTACAAAATAGTTTCGAAGTTTAACTTACAATTGACTAAATAAAATATTAACAGAACTATCGACTTGCTATGTAATTATTTACAATTTTACGATCCACTGTTGTGATTATTTATACTCAATTTATGTCTTTCAAAAACGTCCAAAAAAATTAAAAGCTCCCCAAGAATTAAAGCATGGCCAATTTTTCTTTCGGTCCTGGTCTATAGTTGCACATTGAATGTGGACATAACATATTCAGCTGATGGGAAGCCGATGACAACAATAGATTAGCTACGCGAGTTTGGTACCCGGTCCGCTACAGCTGGAAATCAATCTCCTACTCAATTACTCTCTGGGAAACTCGACCCTCCCGCACTGCTGTTTGTTTTGTATGTCATTTATTAGGCTCCAATACTCATGTAAATAGTTCATTTGATACAGGAATCCATTGATTCTTATCATGAAACTTTATCCCGTTTATAAGGTAAATGCAAAGGAAATAGATACTTTAGGAGCAATTGTTAACATTAATATGAACTCCAGTTTTAGTTCTGATGGTGGATCTTTGCAAATGGGTTTAATTGTGAGCAAATTTAATCTTTTATCTATTTTTTTTCTATATACAATAACAATCAATTAGTTAGTTATTTATGAAATACTTGATTGCAAATATTGCATCAGTAATAGACACACGATATTTGTTATCAATAGGTATTTTATATAATTAAAAAAAATTATACATATTTTTATGCAAAGAAATGGTAAACTACAGATGAATGAATCAAAATTTTAAATTTATTTCCTAAAGAAAAGTGTCAAGGAAACCCCCAGAAACAAACACCCAGACTTGCTCTTAAAAATCGACTTACCTATCGCCTATTGTGGTATACCACTTGAGGTTCAGAAATCACCCTCTTAAGTGTTTAAACTAAAAATCTACTCATATATGCACTCTCGATAGGGCATATAATGACTATAATTATATAATAAATTGAAAACTGTCTATTACTAGCATTTTTACCTAATATATTTTTATTTGTATTTATGAAATTTACAACAATATTAAATAAAAATACACCAAGTAAATGTGAAGATAGTACTATAATGAAATGAAGAGGCTTATATAAAAATTCATTCATTCATAGTACGCTTAGCAGGGTTATTCTTTTTTTTTTTTAATTAAGAAGCAAAATGATTGGTCAGCTTTACTTGCTTAGCAAGACAAATCCAAGGAAGATTCTTTTTTGTAATGTATTTAAAATATATAAAATTATTATAAAAAAAAGAATTATTTCTGTAGTTATAGCATATTATGTTATGAAGCTTATAACGAAAAATCGGTCCATTATTCTCCCATAATATGCGCGGACAAAATCATTTTATTCAATTTTTGAGTTCCTGAAACGTCAAAACTCAAATTTTGAGGAGGGGTTAAGGTTTTGAATTTTTCGGACGATTACAATGGTTCATTATTGAAAATAATAAACCAAAACAAACAGTTATCTCTAAGCGGGTTACGTCAAGCACATTAGAAATAGGTTCATAACATCATTAATTGAAGAATCAAATTAAACATATAATTAAAACATCATTAAAAAATAATATGGTTTTTTTTTTATGCTTTTCTCACTGTTTGTCTGGATATCCAATAAGTTGGGTAACTAACTTAAGTAACTAAGACGCCAAATACTTGGGTAATTTATATACTGAAGGGAAGGACAAAGTTTTCCTGAAACGTCCGAATAAAAGTTATAAATAACAACACTGTAAATAGAATGTTATTATTTATTGAATTGGAGCTACAGGCAAAAAGTAAGCAGAGAATAATTAATGAAAAATGGTCAAAAATAGAAACTAAATACAGATTTCATTACAGTCCTATACATTTTTCTGTTTTTTTATATTTTATTTAAATAGCAAAGGATCTAAGCCTCTATGATCAAGGTTGCGGGTTCTTGTCTGGCTGTTGCAAGTAATGACTTATTCCGTTACATCAGCATCAAATCGACTCTGTGATCAGAAGACCCTCCTAGGGCACACCCAGCATCTCCAAATTTGTTACTATCTATTGAATAATTTATTAAGGAGAAAATCAGGTAGTTGAGAGTGATCCCGACCCTATCATATCCCTGCACAACCGTTGGCTTCCAAGAGTTGTAGTTTCACCGGTTTTTTTTTCCTATTTTATTTACTTACCTCCAGCGTGTATTATTTAATTTATAGTGGTGCAACGACAAAAGCTATTCATTTTTTCAGTTGCTTATTATTTTTGTAAATAATGATAATTAGCAAATACGATGAAAATGAAAATGTTTCGGATTGACTAAAGGCGGTCCTCGTCTAGCTCCTTTGTAACCGTCTCCTCGAAACAACAGAAGTTAGTCCCAGTCATGTTGGATATTTCATCAGTCTGTTGGTAGATTAGATGAGTTTATTATATAAGGATACATTAATAGTAGGGGTGTGCAGGCCGACGGTTGATTTTTTGATGTATGTTAATGTGGTATATTCGTCTGCATATATGCGAACTTTTTTATTGTGTACTTATGGTGCCGGAAATGGCGAAATGTTTTACAAACATTACAGTTGAGTGTGTGCGTGTTTGTTGATTTTATTTATTCCTGATCAATATGACTAACAGAGAAGGTAACATGCTCTGAGACAATTATAATTTTTAATAAAATTAATAATTGTTATTTCAATATATTCTTTCCTTGACAAGAATAAATATATAAAATGACCTACACTCTATATAGCAGATAAATTCCTCAATGTTTTTATTAATGTATAAATAAACATTAATTTATATTAATAACAATAATACTCCATATTCGGTTAATGGCAGTATCATGTTGAGATAAAATTTGACCAGGCAACAACAGCGTTCCAAATTATTATTTAGCAGTGCCTCGTGATCGAGAGACAATTAATTAATACAATAATTTAATTGTATTAAAGGGTAATCTTTGCTTTCTATCAATTCGCATAACAGAATTTATGCATTTGCATAGGGTGATATTTGTCATTGAGCAACCGGCGTTTGGTGCCAATTTCCGAAGATGTCAACGAGATGTATTTGTGTTCTCCTAAATTTAATTCACTTTCTATGAAAATTACAACGGTGCTAATTCAGTATTAGGGAATATTTAGTATACTGAAATTTAAAATTAGTATTACTGGTGTAATATTCTGCACTATTAAATAATACCTGCAAACAGGATCATCACACCCATGGATCATCACACCCTTTTTCTTAAACAGTGCAAATGAAAGTAAAAAGAAAAATTGTATATCATATAAATTGTACTTACTATATCTGTTCTATGTTTCCCCTTCTCCTTTGCTTTGAAAGAAATTTTATCATGTGTCATCTTGATGCCTTCTCACAATCAGACATAGCAAATTCCCTTTTATACATTGACAGTGCCAGGTTGTTTATATCCTGATGGAAAATCCCTTAACCAGGAAAAATATCTTACTGAAACCAAAAGAACATAAAAACGTTGGCTACAAAAAAAAACTTTTAAGGAGTTCCTGTCATAAGGAACTGAAACTTCTTGCTATGTTATTGAATCCAGCTTTTTTCGAGCTGATTTCGGAATTCAAGTTCACAACCTACGGAATTTAATACCTCCTCTCATAGAAATGATTCTTTGCAAAAATTCTTTATTATTCTCTGATCCATATTACTTCTTCGTATAAAGCTTTTATATATTGTCACTTATTTAATAAAGCTTTACCCTTTAAGCTATATGCTAAACTAATTTTCTGTACATACAGGATTGTGTCCTATACATAGGATAAACATCTTTGTTTATTTTACCGAAACATCGACATCCATCTCCATCATTAGACATGGAGTGATAATAATTACTTTAATAGCTATATCGTTCGGTAATTGATAAGGAATTGGAAGAAAAGATTAAGACCGATACTTTGACCTTGTTTCAATTGCAGAAGAACTTTGAGAGTAACCATTGGCAATCGAGGCAATGGTCACTCTCGCGTAATAAACTTCGTTACTTTGAAATATAATCAGCAAGAGCAGATTGTAAACGTCTTTAGGTTTCGAAAAGTCAATGTTTTCTAGAAAATTCGAATAGGTACAGAAGGGATTTATACCAATTAAGGTAAGTGTGCTATAGCAGATTGCCGCCGAAGTGGATTAGCGGAATAACCGAATCGGTTGTTTGCTTCGAAATTGAACTATGTTGACTAAATTTAATTTTGTGTTTGTTAAGAATTCCTAAAAAGTTAATATGTGCCGTGTCGATTGACAAGCGTCTGAGGGGCAGGCAGAGGCGAAGGTGGGAAGATTGCGTTAAGGCTAATTTGGCGGGGTTCGGTGGTGGTATCGGCATCGAACCTTCGGCTTCGCTGTGCCTTATTATTATTATTAAATATAAAGATTAAATTAAAATATAATAAGATTCCAATCGTGATTTTAAGATACCAATTTGATAATTTTAAAAATATAAATTGAAATGACAAGATTCAGATTAACTATTATAATTCAATAATAAACTAATTATGAATGATATTAAAACAATTATTTTATATTTATAAACATGTGATTCTGTTGTGTGAAATGAAATTTGTCATAGATTTTATGATGCTGTTTTTTCCACAGTTTATATGGGATTAGAAAAACTGAGATTTCGAATTTTATTTTATTTTAATTTTTTTTAGCTATCTACAAGAGCCATGAGATATATCAATATTTTTTTTAAAAATCATAAAGTTATTTTATTTAATTTTTCCATAACGAATAACTAACCGAAAATAGATGACCTTTTGGCAACTTAATGATTTATAATAAGGAAGTAATTAGCGTTAATTTAAGTGACAGATATAGGTTCAAAACAATTAAACTGACGTTGTCACTTTAACATATTCGTGAACAAATTAAGTATCACTAATTACGATGCGTCAGTCAACTTGAGGCTTAAATATTCTCTTTAAATCAATAATTTAATTTTAATTACATTTTTAACAGCTACTGGAGTCTAACTCTTGAACAGTTTATCAGAATTAATAACTGTCACATTTAACATTAAATATTACACACAATGACATGGTTTAAATTTTTGATCTTTTAAATTAATAAATTGATTATTATGATACAATAATTAACCCCTCGATGTTGGTCCTAGGTGACAGCGGACCGGCAGGTAGCCCCGGACCCCCGGGACCTCCAGGAATCACCTTCACGACCGAGGATGGGGACTTGGTGCCTGGCTTTGGAGCCGGTAAGTAAATACTTCTGTCTTTACTTTTGCAGGATCGACAGACTTGAAAGTGTCAGCCACTAACCGGTGGAGAGACAGTTAATTTAAGTTCGAAGGAATAACTCTTTATTCCGTATGTAGATTATTTCACTATGTTTATGTACTGACAACTAAACTGTTAAATAATGTTTCAGAAAACGCGTTGTGTATATTTGTTGCTTTTTAAATTAAACTCCATTTTGATTACAGTATAAAAATTTCGAATCTTCCACCACATAGATATCCAAAAATATTAGCACTACAGATAATTTAAAATCGAATTGTTTAGGGACTTACTTAATCTGATAGAACTGCATGGATTAAATTTCAACTTAAATCGATCTAACTGTTATGATGTTGAACTATGGAGAGCTAATTTATATTTACTAAGAACTCAAATTCAGAAAGACATATATATAATCAATATGTAATTAAAGTCCAGAATTCTAAAACTTTCACTTTTTACCCTCATATAACTTCAGTATATTGATGACAAAAGCTCATTGAAGGTGATCAGATGGGTAATTAAGATTAGATCTGATGTTTTGAACTTAAATTATAAACACTTCAATGAAAAAAATAATATTTGTAGCATGTGTAATAACAAACGAAACAGAAGATCTCTATCACTTCCTGGCTGCTTGTCCGATACTCTCTTAATTTAGAATTAAATGGTTAAAATCTAGAAATTTATCTCGGGATCAAGTAATAGATTTAATAAATGGTAACAATTGGATAGCATTGGTAAATTACTGCAAGTCTGCTTTCTTCTATAGAATAATGCCCACCAGAGAATTTAATAATTAATAAATTGGAGAATTTTGGTACCACTCTTTTTGTGATTAAAATATTTATATAACTTTTACATTGTAAATATAATTGTTCTTATTTTCTTATTAATTAGTTGTATATAAATGGATAGAAATATAATTTTGTTATAAAACACGAACTCCTCTGAGGGTCAGCAGACCATGTAACACGTCTTATTTTCAGTTAAACATTCTAAAAGAAACTAATTAGGAAATAAAGACTAATTTCTTCATTCTCAAATTTATTGCCCTTTCCCCCTATTTTAAAATAATGTAGCCCCTTGTGACAACGCTCTCGCAATTATTTCAGATGAAATTCTCATTTAAAAGGAAAAAAAATTTAAAACAAAATAATAATGAATTCCTAGCCTCCTCTAAATATTACTGATGTTACTTGTTGATTGTAATTGCCTAATGTACTGTTCCTTTAATATTCTCGAGTAACAAACCAATATTATATCTACTATCTCTTAAAGTAACATTGATATTACATCTCATATAGATTACATATTAATTATATAAGTGAAGGGGCAATAATATTTATTTTGGGGGGGAAGGAAGGGCATGCGCCATCTTCCTCGGGGTAATACACAACAGAGGTCTCCACACGTTTTGGCCCGCGGGCCATATTATGACCCCTATCTAAGTCCCGTGGGCCACAGCTAGAGATGAAAAAAAAATGTTGTTCTATAAAAGACAATGTAGTTGTGAAATAAGCTTTCTAAGAGAAAAAGCGGGCCGGATTGGTAGGGATTGCGGGTTCGCGGGCCGTAGGTCAGAGCCCCCTGATAGAGTATTATTATTAAGCTTGGAAGAGTTTTTTAATCATGAGGCAATATCATCCGCTATCGGGAAAGTTTCAATTTAGAAAATAAAAAGTAAAGTAAATATATAAAAACAAAAAATAACTTTATTTTAAAAACGCAGGAAAGCAGGCAAATTCATATTAAGAAAAACAATAGATCTTTATTTTATTTCATTTTTTCGTGTTAAGTAAAAACACTCGATAGCGGATAATACTGTCTCTTGCTTCACAAACTATTCCAAGCTTCATAATAATGTTTGATACAACTTGCGTGATTCCCTCATATATTTTCACTGCTCATGAAAATCCTATTTCTGTGTTAAGAAGTGTTAATCCGATTAACACTTATCTTCCAAACTGATGCCACACATTATCAATACATTTCTATCAGTGCTATGAACTTCTGAATTTTCGTATTGTTTTGATTATTATTTAAAAAGGCTTACGATTCTATTGACCGCCAGAAACTGTATAATATTCTAATCGAGCAGGGGATTCCAAAAAAACTAGTAAATCTAGTCAGGATGTGCTTGACGGAGACACTCAATAAAGTTAGAATCGGGAATAATTTGTCCGAAAAATTTGAGGTTCGTTCGGGCTTAAAACAGGGGGATTCTCTTTCGCCTGTCCTGTTCAATTTGGCATTAGAACATGCCATTAGGGAGGTAATGCGTACCGAGAAAGGGTTGGATCTGGGCGGGACAACATCCGTGCTGGGCTATGCTGATGATCTGGTACTGTTAAGCGAAGACGTTGAAACTATAAAACTAAATACGACAACGTTAATGAAAGCCGGTAAAGAACTAGGACTCGAAATAAACGTGGATAAAACAAAATATATGGTTAGCTGCAAAAATGGCGATACTACTGGTGATATCGATATAGATGGTAATATGTTTGAACAGGTAGATAAATTTAGGTATCTAGGTTCTACGATAACTAGAAAAAACGAAATTGAAGAAGAGATTAAGGTTAGACTGAAGGCGGGAAATGCTTGTTATTTTTCTGTGACAAAACTACTCAGTTCGCGCCTCTTGTCCCGGAACTTAAAAATTAGAATCTATAAAACAATTATCTTGCCTACAGTTCTTTATGGATGCGAAACTTGGCCGCTTACATTAAGGGATGAGCAGCGTCTTAAGGTTTTTGAAAATAAAGTATTGCGTAGAATATTCGGACCGAAGAAGGATGAGTTAACCGGAGAGTTCAGACGGTTACACAACGCCGAATTGCGTGAGCTATATCCGGATAATATAATTGAGGTAATTTCATCGCGGCGAATCAAATGGGCTTGTAAAGTTGTTTGGCTTAGTAACGAGAGAATTCCTAAAAGGTTAATATTTGCTGTGCCGAATGGTAAGCGTCTGAGGGGTAGACCGAAGCGAAGGTGGGAAGATTGCATTAAAGCTGATCTGAAGGGACTGGGTTTAGACGGCGAACAGTGGAGGGAGCTGTGTAACAAGCGATTGGTGGTGTCGGCATCGAAGCTTCGGGTTCGCTAAGCCTTATTATTATTATTATTATTATTATTATTTAATTATTAGAACTGAATGTCAACAGATTCTGATACTTTTAAATTCGCATCAAGTTACGGCAAAAACTTTATCTCTGCCTAATAAACATAATATAATGATTTAGAGAGTATTTAAACCAATATACGTAATTATAGAAGTAGCCAATTAATTTAGGCCAAAACTCTAAAATTTGAAAACAACTTTATATTAAATTCTAGCTTTTATTTTTTTTATATATTTAAATTGCAACTTATATTTTAATTACGGGCAATATAAACTTGTACCGAAGTCCATAAAATCTCAAAGCCAAGGTGAATAAAGCTACGTCCAAAATGACCTTAAATTTATTTTTTATTCCGAGTAATGTGTTAATAAAGTTGGACGTGGTATGGAGTGCAGCGAGTAATGAACCTTTTTATAGCCAGTACAACGTTTATATTCCCAGCAATGTACCAAGTCATCGCGTGCTATAACAGTTTCCCAACTTTACACCAAAGTAAGTCCAGTGTGTTATGTTCAAAATAAACGAGTTTGGTGGTCATATATAAATTGATTCCATAACAGTTTTAAATTTATAAACATTTGCATGTTGATTCCATATGAATACTGTAGCTACAAATACACAGCTAAAATATACAGAAAAATACAATGCATTTATAGAATTAATAGATGGTTGTTCATATGTTCACTGTTTCTGAAAGTCTGAACAAACATTTTTTAGCTGTTCCACCGTCTCCCATTAAAAATTGTTTTAATTTATAAATTTTTAGCCTATCTTTCAATACATTATGGGCTAATTCCTAAGGCATCGATCAATCGATTTACAGTAAATACATCGATTTCTCCAGAATATAGGTACGATCTGCACGATTCTACGTGAAAGTTAACACTTCTGGGAAGTTAAAACGCAAGTGATTAATAAAAAATATACTGAATTCATGAGCTTCAAAACAGAAATAAATATAGATAGTAAATAAACTAAATATAAATATATAGAGTAAATTGAGAAATAACAACTTTCAGGTTATAATGAGTTTACATCGAACCCGAAAGCCGCTGGTACCGCTGAGCTATCGTTAATTAAATTAGTCAATAAAAGAACGCAATGAATACATTTTTATAAATCAATTCTCTTTATCTTGGTTTTTCTTTATTTAAATATTTATATTTATTCCTCTTTTGTATGTAAATATTGTATGAATGAATGAACTTGTAGTCTTAATGCCGATTGCCCTTCAATATGGCAGAATGAATTATTATTTAATAAATTGTTTAAAAAAAAAATATTTTTCATTGATTAAATTTGGTTACTAGCTATTATCATTGATAAATATCATGTCACCTGATAAAATAAACTGCTAAATAAACATGATTGTAATAGTAATAGATTAAAAAATTATGAGAAGGAGTTAATTGGGAGGTGCGGTCAAATAAATACTAAATTATACAAATAGTATTATTTAATTTTTTTGCCGACGTTTCGACCCACTTTGCAGGTCGTCTTCAGGGCTACAAAAGATACAAAACACGTTGAAAATAAAAAATAGATATAAAATAAGAAGAAGTTGTCAGATACAGAAATAAAAAGATGATATCAGAGATACCCATTGTCACCCATTGTATCTCTGATATCATCTTTTTATTTCTGTATTTGACAACTTCTTATTTTATATCTATTTATTTTTATTTTTTATTTTCAACATGTTTTGTATCTTTTGTAGCCCCGAAGACGACCTGCAAAGTGGGTTGAAACGTCGGCAAAAATTAAATAATCACTACATTTTAATTTAGTATTTATTTGACCGCACCCCCCAATTAACTCCTTCTCATATTATATCAACGGTCAACCATCTCTACATCATCATGAAAAAAAATTAGTTATTAGATCAACCTAGGCAAACATTTTGAGCAAACAATTTTTTCTAAGTTTAAGCTCGTTCATTTCTTATCTTTTCCTTTTTTTTTTTTTTTGATAACAAAAAAATTCTGAAAACTCCATTGATCCACAAGAAAAATCGGGCAGAAAAGCAAATTCCATAAACGGATTAGAACCATAGGATATAAATATACATTTTTTGAGAAATTTTCTTATTTCTACCTTAAAAAGGAATAAAATCTAAAAATTATATATATACTTTTGAATAGCACTAATTCAGATTTCCAACGGTTGTTGGAATTTACGTTGAATTTGGAGAAAATCCTAAGGAGTTTTGAATGCATAAAATCAGGTTTTAAAGTTCTTTTTTTTGTTATTTATATAAAAATTTGTATTTAATAATTTTAAAATGAATATGAGTTACTTTTTAATACAAGATTTACCTGAGCTACTTCACTGAAAGCGTCTTTTGGTTTTTGTAATTTATGAAACATTATAACCCATTTAATACTCTACGCAACATTTTTTTATTATTCTGCAGAAAAATGAATCGGTTGGTATATAATAACCAAGAAATCTGGGTGGAGCAAAGGCTTTTTTTTATTATTATTATTTATGAAATTTACAACTGTACATTTAATATTCAGCAAATGTGATACAGATAACTACATGACGTGACAAGGCTTGTAGAGAATCTACCCATTGCTAGTACTCTATTAAAGTTCACACTCAGCTTCATCTCATCGTTTTCAGTCATCGTCCAAGCCTCTGAGCCATATGTCAAAACAGGCCAAACAAGGGTCTTGTATATGATCAGCTTGGTCTTTTTTGAGAGGTACCTACTTCTTAAGTGTCGGCCAAGTCCAAAGACGTATCTATTATAATTATATAATATATTTTTTCTTGACTCTTAGACACAAATATTTTACTTAGACAACTAATATTTTTCGATGTAGTATCACCTAAACAAATATGATGAACGAAATTGATGAACCACAATCTGTGACCTCCCTTAGTAAATAGATAAATAAATTGAATACTAGGAATTTAATGAGGAAAAATATTAATACAAACTAAAATCCGATTGAAATGCATATTTTCGAATATGAATCGTGAATCAAAAGATGAGTGTAAGTAATCCGTAGTGACTTAAGGAGCTTAGATACTTGGCTAAACGAAGACGAAGTGACGCCTCCTTAACCATTCCCTTTTGACATTAGCGCTTCATTCCCCCGAGCCGGGCGGTATAATGCCGCATTCATGATGTACTTTGAATTTTTGAGAATGTAGGCGAAATTGCTCGAGCTTGGAGCATCTCCTCCCATCACCCCCCTCCCTTCCCCCTACTAACTTATGAATCAGAGCGTAACCTTAGCTCAGTCATCAGTGGCCGTGTATTGTGCCTCAGGAGCCTCTGTTTGCCTCAATCAGGAGGATAGAGGTTACCTCCTGTTCATCCCCTCCCCTCCCTATTCTGTTTGGTGTCGACTCAATCTCCATAGGCTTTTATCACTTGCGATATATCAGCGATTCTTCATCTACCATAAATTTTTAGTCCTGTTTAATTTTTACTCAAGTAATTGTATACCCCAATGAGGAATCTCACATTAAATTACCATACTGTTCTCTAATGCATTCCACGTATAATTGAGCTCGTGTTTATTCGTGTATTCAATATAATATTATCGAGAAAAGTATATTCAATAAATAAAATTTAAATTATTAATTAACCTAATGAGTTATTAGCTTGTCCATATCCCTCCAGTTCAATACTAATTTAATAAGACACAGCAATCCGAATTTATACTAACCCTTTATTGTACTCTCTGAAAACCTACTTGATTTGTCCCGAAGGGACTTGGTCTCTAGTTCTTTTACTAATAGTACACAAGTCTATTCAGTAATAGACTTCTACACTTCTGCAATAAGCGAAAAACAACACATCAGAGATAAATTCGTGGAAAAACGGAACAGTATGAGATTTTAGGAAGTATACAAAAATAAATTATATTTATTTTCTTTGTGCCAAAATTTCAGGTTGTTCTTACAAAAATCATTCTCTTCTTTTCAATCATTGATTGACTGCCGTATTGTTTTATTTAAAACCTAAATTGTTGGAGGAGAGAGGACATTTTCTATCCTAACCGTGTCATTTTTTTTTTTTTTTTTAATTTATTGGGTTACTATGTTTGGAAGTTAAAGTAAAATTAATCTCAGATCAAGAAGTGGTTTTTGTGTGCAGAAGTTTCAGTCTGTGACTTCATTGACTTTCATTAGCATAAGATGGTCGAATCCGAAGTTCTGATAAAACCCCGGAACGTTACTATACACGTAAAATATAATTGCATTAGTGCTTCATCTCTTGACGGCACATCTCCAACGAATTTCAACTTAAATTTTACTTAAAAAAATTAAAACTTATAATGGCGTCGTGATACATCAAATATAAAATTGTAAATAACGTGTATATTATTTAAAATAAAAAAATTAAAAATATAAGCTTCTTTTTATAATTTTGAAGTTCTCCAAAAATAGCACAGATTGTTTTCTGATGAGCAGCTCTTTAAAATATATACCATGTAAAGAAAAATAAACGAAAATCATTTGATTAAAAGAAATAACAGAAAATAATACTTTTTGGAACGTAAGTGGCACTTCGTACTATCAAAATCGGCTGTAACAATAATCTGTTCTGGATTATTAGAGATGTATTTGCTTTATTAGAATATTAGGACAAAAGTTGAATGCTGAATTTTTGTGTCTTTCACTAAAGTTTCTTTAATGTCGATTATTTAAAATCACTTCAATTTGTCACTAACTATTAAAAATTGTTAAATTTAAATTGTGAGGACCGATAGGACCGAGAAACTACGAATAGAGTCAAGAAATAGAAACTGGGAAATCGGAAAAAGCCGATAGGGTCCGACCTTTCTCTGTGTACCTTCACTAATACTTCTCATGTTACTAGAATTCTTTCCTATTGTTATTTATTGTCAATGTAATTGTAATATTTAAATGTCAATTAAACATAATTTTCACGCGGAATGACGAAGACATGCTAGTAAATATCTATTAACATTACTACATTTTTCCATCGTATTTCGTGGTAGATGTTTAACATAAAGTTCAAAAATTTTCCATAAGATCCTTTTCATCCACAATCATTAATATTAGTAGTAGTAGTCATCGAAGAAAATTGGAAATGGCAAAAAAAAAAATCTTAATTTAACAGATATAATAATAATAATACTTTATTTATTCTGGGACGAGTCCCTTTAGAATAATACAGAAAGACATATATATAGGCTAAGGAGCTTTAGAGATACATAAATAAAGATACAAAGTAATTAAACAGCCATAGTAAAAAAAAATAAAAAATTATAAGTTACTTTCTAATTTTAATCAGTTAATAATAAAAATAAATAAAAAAAAAGGATGAAGTGAAAAAGGATATACTTTTGCTTTCACTTCCCTATATATGAAAATAACCATTTCTACTCAAAGTATGGTGGCAAGAGAAAGATTTTTGATTCATGCACCTCATCAGATTTTTATTTTTTTAAATAATTTCAGCACGATGAAAATAACGTTTGAAAGCTTATGGCTTCTGTCAACGTGAAAAGCGATAAAGGCAAAGTTTATCAACTAATTTGTTTTGTTTGAATTAAAGGAAGTACGTACAATTTCTCAAACTTCACACATCAAATATTTATAATTCTTTCACTTTTCCTGCCTGTTAAACAAGATGTGTCAGCCAGCGTTAAGTATTCTAAAATACGTTGAATTATTAATGTGTTTTCACAATTTGAAAGTTCTTAACTTTTAATGTTTTATACTCCCTTTTTTTTTGGAATAAATTTGAATTGATAATATCACGGCAAAAACTCGAAACGATAAATCACCAGTGAAGTTGGAAAGTGTGCAATGCCTGACGAATCTTCCGTGCTCCCGTGTCAGTTTCTGTAATTTTCCAAATGGTTTCCCTCAGGAGCTGGGCCATTTTTCCCGCCCGGTGGTGAAGCTTTCTCCCTCGGGCACAGTATCTGTCAAGGAGAAGATCCAGGAGTTCGTTAAGAACACAGATAACCTGCAAAATGAATTTATGGCCTGGTGAGAGGATTTCCCCTGTGACTAGAATTGGGATAATCGCAACCTGAATCTAAATTTCTCTTTCTAATGTCTAGTTTTCAGGCAATTGAGGAGGAAGGTAACAATATTTTGGCGAGGGGGAACGAAATACTACGGCTTACTTATTTTTCAAACAAAGCACAGTAATCAAAAATAAATTTTCAACTCGCTAAAGGAAAATGGCCCAGTGACCTACTATCTTCAATAGAATCAGCATCGAGATCTATGCTGTTTACCAGTCGCAAGCTTATCTACAAGTCAATTTCGTGTCGTGTATCAGCTTCAACTTATTATGCTGCTCCGTGTCGAATTTAATATCCAGTTGTCAATTCAAATAAATTATTCTGACAATATTCAAACGCCCAAAAAAAAAAAATTACATCTAATTAACATTAATAAGAGATATGATAAATAAAATTAATGTTTTATTCCCTGGAAATGGATCATACCTTTTATTTATATATTCCTCTATCTATGCCATCATATTTTCGTCCCCGTTTCATCTATTGAATTAATTTTCTCCTCAAGAATAGAAACTAATTAAACATCCCTGCACTGGATGGAAAATGACATTAATTGACATAAAATATTTATTTAAGCGATTTAGCGGCATGAGTCATACTTCATCCAAGCAACGTCAGTTTTTTTTTTTTTTTATGCATTATGAATTTACGTGAAATTCTTAAAATGTGCTGCATGTAAAGAATTGGAACGGATGTGTAGAAAGCGGATTCCAAACCTATAAAATAAAATATTTGTTTTCTCCTTTAATTTGCAATCGTTACTCTTTTAAATTATATAAAACAAAAATGTTTACTACGTGAGTTAAAATTGCAAAAAAAAAAAAAAAAATGCTTTTGTGTGTGCGAATTTTTTTTTATGCATTAATAAATTTACTCGACAATATTAAAATGATCAATTTTTGAAGCAATGTTCCAATGAGAATCAAGAATCAAAAATTAGTTTTGTTCTGGCAGTTGGAAAATATCGGTTTCGTTGACACCTAACGAAGAAATTTTTTTTTACATTCATTTTACGAGTTAAAAAATTCTTATTAAGTACTTATGCATGGTTCGAGTCCGGCTGGGGGAGGTAATTATTTATTCTCTTACATCAGCCTTGGATCAGGAGACTGTCTTTGGGCACAGCCCCATCATGTGGGAAAACCTGGTGGTTGCACGTAATCTCCGCCATTTCACCTCCCTAAACCTTCGTTGGCTTATAAACTGTACTTGTGCTGTAAAGTCTATATTGTAAAGAGCTTAACGTCCATAGGTTGTAGTGGTTTTTTTTTTTTTTTTTTGTAGTTACTAATGTAAAAGCGTTAATTTCCGTGCCCAGAAGGTTGATACAATGGCCATTTTTTTATTTAATAATTTAGTAACTAAGAAACAAATTTTCATAGCTCGAAGTAATGGAAAATTAGCTCCCCTGAACAACACAAAAATGTGACATGGTACCTGTAACACCTGGGTAATAGGTTATGGAAGATGATTCGAAGGTCCAAAAATTCCTTGATAAAGAACCTGATTTCTGATCTTGATACATCACATATAAAAGTTCTTTCTTTATGGTTTTGCCTAAATCCATTGCTAACATAACGTTACGCTAACTGGGACTCCATCAGATATAAGTAGCAGTTAGTGGCCTATCCCGATCGGTAGATGTGGGTTACTGTTGAATAGTTTTAGCAACGTGACTCGCTGGCGGCTAGGATTCCACACCCTAACTGCGGCTTAATTTTGATTTATCAAACCGTAGCGAGGCCTAAAAGACAATTAACCGCACATGTGTAGATGCTATCGCCCACGAAATGCACAACTAACTGCCCTAGTGTTATTGCCGCCCTCTGCACTAACCCTCGATTAGTGAGTACCGCCGGCTCTGTCATTGGCCCACTATTTTAGTAAATTGGGGAATTATTTCATAATAACTAAAATATATTTTCTAAAATTACATCTTTCTGCGCATCACACAACATTTACTTTCCATCCTAATTGAATATATATATATTTTTTTTATTTAGAATTATAACAATCTGTCACGTGGACAATAGTTTATAGCGATACATGAACACATTCACACCGATTGAATAATTAAAAATCTGTTCAAATAGGGCTATTTTAATGGCAGGAAGGAAGCAATCCATATTACACACTTTTTTAATAAACTCAAGACTAAGTTAAATGGACTTTAAAACTTTCAAATTCGTCTATTGTGATTATTGCTATTAAATTTTATTCCACATTTTATCCTAACCAAAATATTATATCAATAGATAGATCAAATAAATATTAATAGTCCATGGAAC